GCTGCTTTGAAGGACTTGGCCAAAAATAAGGCTCCAGGAATAGATGGTATACCAATTGACATATTTCAGTTAACAGATGCTGCCCTGGACGTGCTCACCAAGTTGTGCCAAGAAATCTGGAGAACGACCACTTGGCCAACTGACTGGAAGAGATCGGTATTTGTTCCTATCCCAAAGAAAGGCGACCCAACCGAATGTGGAAACTACAGAACCATTTCACTGATTTCACATGCAAGCAAGATTTTACTGAAAATTATCCAAAAACGACTGGAACAGCACATCAACAGAGAACTACCAGAAGTCCAGGCTGGTTTCAGAAGGGGTCGTGGTACTAGAGATATTGTAGCTGATGTTAGATGGATCTTGGCTGAAAGCAGGGAATACCAGAGGAATGTCTATCTGTGTTTCATTGACTATGCAAAGGCATTTGACTGTGTAGATCATAACAAACTGTGGCTGACTCTGAGAAGAATGGGAATCCCAGAATACTTGATCGTCGTTCTAATGCGAAACTTATACTTGGACCAGGAGGCAGTCGTCAGAACAGAGCAAGGGAACACTGCATGGTTCAAAATTGGGAAGGGCGTACGCCAGGGATGCATCCTATCTCCATACCTTTTCAACCTATATGCAGAACAGATTATCCGGGAGGCTAGGCTCTATGAGGAGAAATGTGGGGTCAGGATTGGTGGACGATTTATCAACAATCTGTGTTATGCGGATGACACAACCCTGTTTGCTGAAACTGAGGAGGACCTGAAGCGCCTGCTGCAGAGTGTCAAGGACTGCAGCCTACAATATGGATTGAGGCTCAATGTCAAGAAGACAAAGATTCTCACCACTGGACCAATTGGCAGCATCAGGATGGATGGTGAAGAGATTGAGATTGTACACAGCTTTAGTTTGCTTGGCTCCATAGTCAACAGTCTTGGCACCAGCAGCCAGGAAATTAAAAGGCGCATTGCCATGGGAAAGTCTGCTGTTAGGGACCTCTCCAAAGTGCTGAAGAGCAGTAGTGTCTCTCTGGAGACTAAGGTGCGTCTGATACAGGCCATGGTCTTCGCAATCACCTGTTATGCATCAGAGAGTTGGACAGTGACCAAGGAGGATAGAAGGAGAATTGATGCCTTTGAGCTGTGGTGCTGGAGAAGAGTATTGAGAATACCGTGGACTGCTAGGAAAACAAACAGATTTGTCCTGGAGAGGGTTAAGCCGGGTGGCTCCTTGGAGGCAAGGATTCTGAGGCTCCATCTAACTTACTTTGGACATGTAGTGAGGAGAGACCGGTCCTTAGAGAGGGACATCATGCTTGGGAGGGTGGAGGGACGGCGCAGGAGAGGAAGGCCCTCTATGAGGTGGATTGATTCAGTGACTGGGATAATTGCGATGGGAGTGTCAGAGACAGTGCGATTGGCACAGGACAGAGCGGAGTTTAGGGCTGTTGTACATAGGGTCGCTATGAGTTGCAGGCGACTCGACAGCACATAACAACAACAACAAGAACAACCTCTCCCCTCTAAATCTATTTTTTGCACCTTAAGGACATGAAATCATGTAATTCATCCTTGTAGACAATGCAAGTATTATAATACTTGATAAAGTAAATCCTTGTTAAATTGTTTCTTACACAAGCAAGTTGTTTTCCAAACGTCAAAACTAATTCAATTTTATTTCCTTAAAGCTCTAGCTTTATGAAAATATAATTTAAAAAGAACCCCATAACACCCATCACACACCTCCTCATTCAATCAAACTCTTAAAAGTTTTAGCTTTTAAAAGTCTAATCAATCAATGCTTATTTCAATGTCCTTTCCATCATCAATGCAATGAAACAAGAGTATAAAGTAGAATTACATTTAGCCAGCATATAATAAAGTCAGTATCATGAATGGTATGTGGAAAAAGCAGACACTCTCAAGTACATATAAACATTCTAACAGTTGGAAGTATATACAAAGCAGTAAAAAACCAAAGTCCTCTATTAATTACAATTATAAAAGCAGTTAATAATAATATAAAACTATCTTACACATTTTTAAAATGGTAAATAAACCATTTATATTTAATCTATAGAAATATATATACACATTTTTTTTAAAAAAAAAAGTAGTATCGCATAGGGCCGCTGTTGTAAAACGAGACTGGCATCGGGGTTGAGGGAAGACAAGGGAGGAGGGGAGGAATGATTTATATTACATTGACACAGATGAGGGAGAGAACTGTTTAAAAGTGATATATGATTGGGTATTATAGTCATAACAAGAGTCCAGAATGAAGGCTGCACAGTCAAGTGGACTTGGGGGGAGGTATTGCATAACAATGAGTTTTTCTTTTACTTTTTAGGGAGAAGAGTGAATTGGAGAGAAGGGGTGGGCAGAGAGAAAAGTGCAACAATGAATGACTGGAAACCTAAGTCTCTGTAAACTTTCATTAAAATTAATTAAAAAAAAAACCAACACATTCTAGATCTTTTTTCCTTACATGCTAATGCCAAGTCAAAGAAAGATTCTGGATTACATTACAACTCTACTTGTATAATCCTTCTCGCATTCATTAAATTAATGAAATAATACAGTAATACAGCTATCCAATGTTTTCATGCACCATCGAGTCACCTGCGACTCATAACAACCCTATGCACAACAGCCCTAAACCCTGCTCTGTCCTGTGCCAATCTCACTGTCTCTGACACACCTACCCCTATTACTCCAGTCACTGAATCAATCCAATTCACAGAGGATCTTCCTCTCCTGAACTGTCCCTCCACCCTCCCAAGCATGACATCCCTCCCTCTCCAAGGACTGGTCCCTCCTTGCAACATGTCCAAATATGTCAGACAAATCTTCAGAATCCTTGCCTCCAAGGAGCAGCTCCATTTAACCCTCTCCAGTATGAACCTATTTGTTTTCTTAGCAGTCCATGATATATTCAATACTGTTCTCCAACACCACAGCTCAAAGGCATCAATTCTCCTTCTATCCTCCCTAGTCATTGTCCAGTTCTGACGCACGGCAAGTGATTGCACACCTTAGTCTCCAGAGTGACACCACTGCTCTTCCGTACTCTACAGAGGTCCCTAACGGCAGACTTTCCCATCGCCATACGTCTTTTAATTTCCTGGCTGCTGGTGCCAAGAGTGTTGACTGTGGAGCCAAGCAAACTAAAGCTGTTAATAATCTCAATCTCAATCTCAATAGCTGTATTTATTTCTTTCATTCTCTTGAAGGAGCCCTGGCAACATAGTAGAAGCATATGAGGTAACTAATCAAAGGTCGCTGGTTGGAATACATCTTGAAAGAAAGATGGGCAGTCTTTTCTCCCTAAGATTTACAGCCTTGGATACCTAATGGAGTGTTGCTCTGAGCTGGCAATGACTCAGACAGCAATATGTTTGGCCTGGGACCATAAATGTTTCAAAAAAAATAGATATTTGAGAACCTCTCACACTTTATGAGGACATGCTAAAAGTAAAATATCAACTTTGTCACTTCAAAATTTCATGAGGGAAAATATCCAAATTAAATTATCTCCATAGATACTCCCAAAGCATTTTGTTCCTCTACTGACCTCAGTTGATAGTGAGCATCTACTTGGTATAGCAAATATGCAGGAAAGTGCCCAAGGAGCAATCCAGGAGCTGACAGAGCTGAGAAACTGTTCCTGTACCAAAGGTCAAACTTATAAAATCTGACAGTAAAAAATTTTCATAAAATTCTAAAAATTTCTTAGAAATATCCCTGATTTCTCTATGATGATAGTATGCAGCCTCAGTATGACACTGACCATAACAAATCTCTCAGTCAGAACTGTGTACCCAGTGTGCCTTCTAACATGTACCCAAAGGCAGGCAAATATCTAGGTGCATGCCTATATACAGGTAGAAGAAAGAGACAGAGCTGGGAAATGACTACTCAATTACCTCTGACTTAAACAGTCACCATCAGATTCTTACAGATGATGAGTCCTGCATGAATGTATTTTATCTATAATTCAATTTATAACTATGCAAGCACATTTCCCATATAAAAAAACACACCCAAAACATCAAACTTTGAAATCTCACTTTAAAGACAAAAATGTCAACATTATCCTAATATACATCACAGATCACAAAAATCCCAAACTAGTCACAAAAACTAATAGCCAACAAAGTAATCAGTAACATAGTCAAGATTTATATAGTTACTCCTCTTTCAGTTAAAGGCCACATTTTCAAGCTTTATTTTATAAATTTAATTACATTAGATAACTTCACGCAGTTTTTGTCTACAAATATAAATCACTCAGTCCATTAGAATACCTCATAATCTGCCTTTTCAGAAACATACCTGTTTTTCAAAATATTTCAAAAACATATAGCCATATGTAACAAACCTCCATTTTCCATAATAAGCACCTCAGTTAACCAAAAAGAGAAGATATAGCGTCAAAATGCCATCATCCTGCTTCTCTTGTATAAATACAAATGACAAAAGACAGAGAAGGAAAGAAAAAGGAAGTGGAAAAGCAGCAAAAAGGAGTAAGAGAAAAGCAGAGAATGACGAAAAAATAAAATCCTTAAGGAATTATACATCTGGGTATAATATATTTAATTTTCAGAATTTTATTAACAATATACTAACATTTACTCTCTAAGCCATTAAAAGAGTTGCTATATTCTAGTAGGAATCTGAGGGAGACATGCATTCAATCACTAAGATTGTTACTTGTCTTCTTAGAAGAAATACTCAATTCCCACTCAAGTATTAACTTTCTATTTATTTCTAAACAGGTCAAGCACCAGCAATCTCTATATTCTATTTGTATTGATGCCACCAGAACTCAGTGATCACCAGAAAATTCCCAAAGTTTATTAAGTATTCCAACTATTTTTTGCATTATTTAATAAAAATAATCAAAGCCCCACACTACCAAATATTTAGCAACAAGTAGACCATTCCAAATGGTTGCCATTAGTTCCCATATTCAACCAGTTTTACTATATTCAAAACATGAGTCACCTGTATGCATCGTCTTCTTTCAAGTCTCATATCATCCTGATGGGGTGGGGGGAGGGAGGGAAGAGTCCAGCAGCAAAACTACAACACTGTGTGAAGAAAAACAGATTATGATAAGAGATATTGATGCAAGACAATGAACCATAACTGAGGATATCAAACATAAAAATAATCCCCAAAACAAAGTAGTTCAAATTTTCAAAATATTTATAAACATTTAGTTAGGCTTACTGGGAAATACTGTGGCTTCACCTTCCTCAATCAAAATCAACAATAACTGTATAAAATAGATATAGATGGGGATGTAAAAAGAATCTCTAGTGGCCTGGAGAGTACAGAATTGCATCACCAACCCTAGTGGCCTGGAGAGTACAGAATTGCATCACCAACCCTAAGACAGGCAGTTGGAATCCATGAACTCATCTGTGGCAGAAATCCATGTGTTTTATATCCTCTAAAATCCTGCTGGAGGATCAGCTACATGTCTGTTCCAAATTGATGGCAATGAACGTGTATTACTGACATATGTAATTGTCAAGGCAAGATAGTTCTTAACTGCTACTAATAAAATTTTAGGCATTTTTAAGCATTAAATGAGCACTGACTTCTAGTATTCTGTTTGTTTGTTTGTTTGTTTGTTTGTTTGTTTGTTTGTTTAAAACCATCTGCATTTTGGAAATTCCATCAATTCAAAAGTTTAAACAAATATGGTTAAAGTGTAACTTACGACCACACCAAACGGGAGCTCTGGATGCACAGTACATGGAGTTGGCCACTAACTGAAAGGTAAGTTCTCCTATGATTCAAATCCACCAAACACTCCTCAGGAAAAAGATGAGCAACATCCTCCTACTGTGATTTGTTTGGTGGTGTTGTGTACCACTGATTCGGAACCAACCCAATTTTTAAATGCACAGCAAACAAATGGCTTGGATCAGGTACACCTTAAGTCTTTAAACTGATATCACTGTTTGTCAGCACTTTCAAGAGGTGCTTGGCATCGGACTTTTCCCAACGCATCTTTTGATTTCTTGACTTCTACTACCATGAGTGTTGACTGTGTATCCAAGTAAACATGCCCAGATATGTATGAAGTTTTGCCATCCTTGCCTTTAAAGGAGTCCCCTGGCTGCACTTCCTCCAAGACAGACTTGTTTGTCCTTTTGGCAGACCCTGGACTCCCTTCAACACCACTGACTCCCTTCAACACCACAATGTTGAGGGACAACTCTAAAAGCTCAAAGTATGTACTTCAAATAGCAGTAACAGACAGCATCTCTTTGAAAGAGAACCTCCGGGAACAGTGTTTAAAAGTTGTTGTTGTTGTTGTTGTTGTTGTTGTTGCTGCTGTTGTTGTTGTTGTTAAGTGCCATCGAGTTGTAAGCAAACTCATGGCAACCCTATGAACAAAAGTCCTCAACACTTACATGTGTGACTTTCATCCTTTCTCCAGGTTCATAGGGTTTCTGGAGGCAAGCTATTTACGGAAGTGGATGCCACTCCTGCTTCCAAGGGTTTAAAGTATAAACAACAACAAAAACAAAAAAAGTATAATCCATTTAAAAATTAGGAGTTATCTACATCTGTAATCAAACATGCTCCAGATTCCATTTCTGAAAACAACTTTCACAATCCAGATGCTGTTATGGCATCAAGTAAAATCTTACTGAAAACTAGAACCAAATTTGTTGGTGGGTGGGAGGGTGGATGGATGAAAAGCTGTTCTTATCTGCCACTTAATTAGAGTGAGCCCAACAGTGCAAAGCAAAGTGCTCCATAAGGTTTTAAATGCTGTGCTCTCTCTGATGTACCAGTCTTGTCTTCCAAGGCACCTCTCAGTGGGCCTAACTATCAACCTCTTTCCTAGTTTAGTTGTCAAGTGTTTAAACATTTGTGCCACCAAAGTACTCCAGGGTAGACATTAAAGTTCTACATTATTTTACTTACAAAAATAATAGAAAGTTAAAATTTAATCTTTCCCCATAAAGATTTCCTAAGAATTTCTTCCTAAGAAGCCAGTCTTTAAACTATTCTAGTATGGATCATGTAGAAAGAAAACAGCTATGAACTAAATAAAATTAAGTCCTTTAAACGCATTATCAATATCTATCTATAAAAAATTAGAATTATTACAATGCTATCTGTTATCAATGCTCTTAGTAGAATAGTATTCATGTACTATTTATACCTTTAAAAGTAAAAGTATACTGGAGATATTATAGTATTTCTACTATCTTAACTACTAGAATTTTCTAAAAAAGTTATTAGAAATTAGCCTGCTTACATTACTGTAATTTTACATCTAAAATCTAAAGGCAAGGAATACACATCAAAATTAGCTGAATCTAAAACTGACACCTATCATCTGTTAAATCACTATTTATTCGAATGCTAACTATGCACCAACCACAGACCTTTTCTAAATGTTAATCTCCAAACAGGCCTCCATAAGGCACTGCGGCTTTCATCAATGGGGAAATTAAGGGTCAGATAAATTAGCTGGCTCCAAGTATCAACTTCTCTATTATTCCTGACATCAAGATGCAACTCATGCAGGCCAGGGAAATAACTGTAAGAAAATCATAAATATGTAAGAAAAGCCTGCTGTATTTTTTTCTATTTTAAATCCTGTGCTCATTCTTTTACTTGAACAATTTCAAAAGTGTAAAGCACATATAAAAATGAAAGCTCAGAAGTAAATTAACTGTTCAAAGCATATTAATTTAGGAATATGATGCACTAATAACTTCCCAAAAGGTTAGTCTAGTAGAGGAATTTTTATTCCAGCATATAACCAACTCTTAAATGTTCCCTTTACCAGAGTATCTTAGAGGAAACAAACTAAAAAGGTAAAACTCATGGCAGCCATGTCATCTTTTCACTAATGCCTTGGGCAAGACAGAAGATCATTAAGGAGTATAAAACCTGAATCTCTGGTTATGCTATCCCAGTGTTATCTTGGAGGTAGGAATGGTTGGGAATTTGCATTTAAAGATGATGGTGGCATTTGACTTCTCATGAAATGACATGGTTTTGTTGCTGTTATGTACTGTCAAATTGAAAGTGATTCAAGTTGACGATCTATCAGGTTTTCGGAAGCAGTAACTTGCATGGGAGAAGAAAATCCATTTTGTTCCCATGGAGCAGCAGATAGATTCAAACCTACTGCGTTCAAATTGGCAATGCAACTCTATCTAGTAGGTCCCCAGAGCCTTCCTAAATATAACCCTCAATAAGCACAAGAAAGGTCAGAATTAAGAACAGAGTGGGTACAATAAATTACCAAAACTTTTAATCTCTCTAGGAATAAATCAACCACTTCTCTGGGACTACATCTAAGATCAAATGAAACAAAATTGTTGTTAGGTACTGTCAAATCAAATCCACTTCCACCTCATAGGCACCCTATGTACAACAGATCAAAATCCTGCCCAGTTCTGTGCCATCCTCACAATCTCAGTTGTGCTTAATTTCACTGTTGCAGCAGGGTCAATTCACTTTCTTAATAGTCTTTCTTCTCTTCACTAGCCCCTCTTACTTTTCCAAGCATAAAGGCAGCTCTTCTCCAGGAAATAACATTAGGTATTATATATTTGGACAGACCAATAAATACAGGAAAATAGGAAGGTAAAGACATACATTTTCTGCAACAATGTCCAATATACTGATAAACACATTAAAAAAAAAACTGAATAGGAGAAATTAAAAAGTTTGAAGGGATAAACTATGATCAATAAATGTATTAGCACAATATCATGTCACTAATTCAAACGACAGTAAACTGCTGTTGATACGCTATTTTTCTTTCTAGTCTTTTTTTTAATGAATGTAAGAATAGTTTTATTGGCAACGTTTTATTATCAAGTTTCTTTGGCAAAATTTTATTATTAACCTTCATGTCGATGAACCTATTTCTATTATTCTCTTATAATTTGAGTTCTTCAAATTTTAATTCTCATCCAGAACTTTCCTGGATCCTACATTTTACTACTAGAAAGTGACTACTGTGTTACAGATGCTCCAAGGAAAAAGGATCAAACTGTCTGCTCCTGTTAAGCTTTACCGCCAACTCGCTATAAGGCTGCCATGAGTCAGAGAGGACTCTAAGGGTAGTGGGTTAAAAAACAGTAAGACCAAAGAGCCCAAGTGGCATGGTAGTTAATCAGGAAGATGTGGCAGTCCGCTTCCTTCAAGATTTATAGGCTGAGAAACCATAGGTGGAGTCTGAACTGCCCCATAGGGTCACTATGAGTCAGAATCAACTCAACGGCAATAGGGTTGGAGTTTTTGTGATATGTGGTTAGTCTGGTTGGTTGGTTGGTTGGTTGGTTGGTTGTTGTATAACAATGTTACCATTAACTGTAACAGGGTTACAGAATCAAACTGAATTCTGGGTTGATTTTGTCTGGTTTATTAGAAGAAGACCTAGGTTCTTCAAAGTTCACTGCTAAGGCCAAAACAAAAGTCAACATTAAGTATAGAATTAAAGTTTTACAAAGCTGGTTTATATAATAACCCAGCAAACTGTTACTATTGTTTCATTCTATCTGCAAATATCTCTGAAAGCACTGTTCCAACTATTTTCTTTTAAAACATTTACATCATCATTTAATGTAAGTAACACAATTACTAACATTTTAAAAATAAGGATACAATGGCTCATAAAAATGAATCAAAGTTATCAAAGTCACATCTGACTAAAAGGTGGAGCCAAGGATTCAAATCTAAACAAAATGACCCCCAATCCACTATTCTCAGGCATTTAGGTAGACTGACAATCTTCTCACCCTTTGTCCCTAGTAAGACCACTTTGTCTGTACTAAGACCCCTTTGTCCCTGTGTCCCTACCAAGACGCAGGAAGAAACGGTTTGACAGAGGAAAAAGGGAGCTATGACATCCACTTGTATTGTCTATGTTCCCAGTCTTGGTTAACAGATGTCATCATTAACCATCCAGGACTCTTACTTATCTCACATTGAATCCACAAAAAGTTATGGTGGCTTTCATTTCTGAAATACCTTTCAAGTTGTCCTCAGTTCTGTATTTCTACCACTGTTACCTTAGTCAAGGTCCTCTTCCTTATATTTGGGC